TTGAGCTACAGCAAGTGTTGTGTATATAGAACATGAACAGCTGAGACTTGCATGATGAAAAGTACCACGTGTGAATAGTGGCATGTGATGAACAAATTCCGGTCAATGTTACTGTGAATTGTGCATTGATGTCATCACCTTTTTTTACACATCATTATCATCTCCAGACCCTTGGTTTTGATTTTTCATCCAATATGATGCTCAATGATGATCATCATGAAAACCCCTTGCTTGTTCGTGACAATACTTCCTGTCTGTCCTTGAATAAATTGATTAAGAGCAATAATGTCAAAAACCAGAATTTTAGATTGACCAAGTGAAGTGCCAGTTGTATCATTTTGGCTGTTCATTTCATTAGCATCTTCAGCTTTAAAATTTCAAACTTGGCTTTTATTTTGAACTGCTCTACCTTTGTTGAATTGACTGGGAATTCGGAATGTTGATTGCTTTTCACTTTGGATTGGATTGTAGGACTAAGTTCTTTTTTGGCGAGAATGCTAGGAGTCAACTCTGTGTTTTTTGTGGCTGGGTGTGTGTAGATGGGTGGGGGTAGGTGTGGGCTTGAGAGTGGGGTGTGTTTTGTTCTGTTTTGTGTTTGTCTATGTGTTTATGTATGTTGCACACACTTGACGGATCTCCATTAATTCTGTGTAAATCTGTGGCTATATATAGGCATGATTTACTTTGTTGTATTCATATTCTCCTGTGTATGAGACATGTCATGAGTTGGATTGCCAGATGCCCAAATAGCTGTATGTTTATGTCAATTGCAGTGAATATTTCATTATCTCTTCCTGGTTTTTGTGGAGCTGGTGTTGTCATGTAAAAATGATACGTGCAGAACTAAGTTCATTTATTGCCATTTGCAGTTAGCTTTGTGTGGTCTTCATCACCTTTACTGGCGCTGTTTTAGCAGGCATTTATTATGGAATCCTTGTCTGCTCATTCTGCACTTAGTATAATCCTGAACAAGTAAATATTCATTTTCTGAATGCCTAATAACAGAATTGACGCTTAATCTGCGTACATAGAGGGGATGATTCATGTTGGATAATAGTCCATCCATTGATATTGGTTGATCATTGAGCTAGGTTTTTTCAAGGAAAACTGTCATTCACAATGAAGAAAATCTTTGAAGCATGCGTGCCATGTGGTGTTGTTTATCATTGCTTGTGTACATATTTAAATACTGAAGTCTTACTGCATGAAAAATATGTGAAGTATGTAACTTTAACTGTTTTGGGCGGATATCCATTTTTTTAACCAATAAGCTTCAAAGTATGCTAGCCTTGATTTTGTGGACCCTTATCTGCTTTTGTCATCAAGAAAGCGTGTTTCTTCCTTGAAAGAGGCTAACTTACGATTCATTTATTCAGCTAATTGTGCCATCTTAAACTATTGGAAACCTTCTTTCTTCTCCTCTGTGTTGAGTTCCTGAGGTCTTCGCTGTATTTCAGCAATTATGCTCTACTAATGTGGAAATCACTTTGCATTGTTTTCAGGTACCATTTGTACCGAGATGATGACATCCTTGGAACATTGCATGATTAGAAAGCTGCTACTTCCACCATGTTAAAGATATTACATTGGTGGTATGCTAGGACTATGTATCAGCGGGTTGGAGAATTGGATTCTCTTAGGATGGAAAATGCCATTTCTTAGTTTTAAAATGTTGATTAACTTAGAAGGCTGTCTTGACATTTTAATGAAGTATTGTGTCTTTCTGACCCTTAAGCCTTAACTCGTGAATTGGCCAATTGTGTTGCAGAAACTGTTTAATGCTTGCATTCTTGTAGGTAATTGATATAGGCAATGGAGTCGTTGATCCCATTGCACATTTGAACAATTCTTGGGCAACTGCATTTTGCATTTTCTTATTCTGTTCTTTTTTTGAACGAGTGAATTTTAGATTGAAGTCTTTAACTGCTATAAAATTGGGATCTTGGAGACAAACTATTTAAGCCCATCCAAGTGTAAGCAGAGAATGGTTATAGGATGGATGAGCTCCACCTCCATTTCCTGATACCAAGGATGAGAACTTTTGTCAGTTTCTATTTGGGTTAATAACAGCGCCCCCCCCCTCGCCCCCTCTCTCCTCTCCTTCTTTCCCCCCAAGTTTTAAATATATACATTTTTCCCCTTAATTCTCCTCTCTCGCACATCCAGAGGGGAGGAGCAGGTTGGTGGGGGAAGGAGGATGGAAGGAAGGAGAGGGAGGGAGGGAGGGAGGGAGAAAGGGAAATAAAGAAAAAAGAAAAAGCGGAAGGGAAGAAGGAAAAATTTTTTTTTTGTGTGTTTTTGAGTATTTTGAGATTTGTATTTAAAAAATTTTGAGGAGTTCTTTGAAGTTCCTATAGCTAAATTTATTTAAAAAATATGGTCAAAATAATTCGCATAATCCTACACTTAGAAAGCTATAAGAGTCATTTAGTGCGAGCAATAAACTTGTAGAAGAAATATTTGGTCAGAGTAATTCACATAATCTTACATTTGAAAAGCTATAAAAGCCTTTTAGCGCAAGCAATACAAGATGAGATTTTAAGAATTAAAAATTTTGGATTTAAATTTCTCTTTCTTTTTCTCCATTTCTTAAACCTACACCTATCCTGTGAGATAAAAATTTGAAAAAAAAAATGTTCAGTTTAGTCAATGGAACAGTTATATAGAAATAAAAAAAAATATAAAAGAAATGGTCTGAATGGTAAATAACTTGAATGATCGTATCTGGACCCTCAATCAATCCTTCTAATCACTTCCATACCATAGGCAAAAGTGATTGTAGCCTATTCACATATTTGCCAAGGACACCACATTCGAATCGTCCAAAATCAAATGGTCCTTAGCATATTTCTGAGTTAGAGACAATGGGATTAAATTTTGAAAAGTCATGTCAAATTTAAGATTTTAAAGGAATAATCATTAGGTTTATTGACTAATGTATACGATTCCTCTGGATTGAAGAAGTCACTCGACTAATCTGCTTGCAAGTGTTGCTGATGATAATGCCAGAAAAGAGTATTGATAGAACAGTTATTTGGCACATTTTGCATTGTCATCTTGTTCTAATTTTGGCTATTCATGGTGCTAAGAAAGGGAATTTCACTCATATTTGATATTTGTGTGAATTGTAGGTGGTTAGTATTAAAAATGATATCTTGAGGTGAATTTCCAGAAGACTTCTCATTTCAGGGCGTGGCCACGCCTTAAAAGGTAGACATTACCGAAAGCCGGACTCCGGTCCACGTGAACCGCGAGAAGCATGGAATAAAAACTCCAAAAGGCTAGCTTTGCTTTTGTTTTCAATCAATTAGGTCACGTTTGAGAAGCTCCTGACGGCGGCTATATAAAGAATAAAAAGGGAGATTCAGAGGCATCAATACCTTAGCTTTAGTTTTCTTTTCCGAGATCTGTCAGACGTTTTTTCCCTTTTTCTTTTTTCTCTTCGGTAGCAATTAGAATAGGCCAGACGGCTATTTTCCTTTGGATTTTTACGCTTGCTCTGGACAATTTCGGTTAGCCTTTTGCTTCGTACACTGGTGGCTCCAAAACGAAGACGAAGGCAGGGCCTTCTCTGTTGTTACTGCAATTAATTCCCATTCCCCAATTCTTCGGCGAATAATTGAATGACTTCAATTAAATCACGCGGGATTGACACGATGAGGAGCGGCTAATTTTCTCCTCTACCCAAAGGTTGACGCGAGGGCGCGGTCCATAATATCTGTGAGATCTAATCGAATCTTCATTATTTCTCCCAATTTATTGCTATTCGTGCGTTTCCTGAATTAATTGTTCATGGGTATTTTATTAATTGAATATCAACGGCCGGGTATTTGATTTAATTTAATAGCCTACTGCCACGTTAATTAAATAGAATCCGTAATTGTTCATTTAGTTAACACCTCGTGGCAACCACCATAATTGGCTTTATGATGGGGAAGCGTAAGATCTAGCTTAAATAAACTCTCTTAGCATGTTTATTGGTTAGGGTTGGGTTCTTCTAGCTTTAATGCAATTGGGTAATTAAATTCCTACGGTCGTACCTAGGGTTGTTATCTGGTTAGGGAAGCAGTTAATGGTCGTACCTTGACTGTCGAAAAAGTAAGGAAGAACTGGTTATCAGAGCTTGTTGATAACTATAACCAACCTAGTGATGAATGGATGAGATATCTTTGCATCGATGATCATTTGATTGGACCGTGCCTGAGCAGTTAATCCTTTGGGTGGAATCTTATTAATTGCTACTTTTAGTGAATTGTGCTTTGTGAGTTGGTTTTGAATTTAGTTCGCTTTATTTTTATTTTATTTGTTTGCCTCCTATTGAAAATCCCCCAATTCCATTCTACTAATTTGGAAAGAAATAATTTCCTACCCGCTCCCTGTGGAATCGACCCTACTTGCCATTGTACACAAAAGTAATATTCTTTTAGACTAATCTGGTATATCGGATCAAGCAAACTCTTCGGGAACAGGGTGAATCAAGTAACCCATTGCACACCTAGGGTCCCTGCTCCAGTACTTGGATTTGTTCTATAATTATTTGTGGTGGTAATTAGGACTTTTTAGTAATTATTATTGCACAGGTTCGGCACCTGTCATGTATACAGGCAGAGTAATTCAGAAAATCCTACATATGGAAAGCTATAAAAGCCTTTTAGTATGTTTTTTTTTTCTGTCGAAATGATAAATTCTATGTTACAACTACTCTTACTTTATACTAGGGAAAATGAGATCTAAATAGGTCAAGAAGAACCCGATAAACCATTATCGATTCAAACAGATGTTTATGCACTCGCTGGTGAAATATTTTCAAGAAAGTCTGAATATTAAAATGCAAGTGGAGGAAATTGATCCCTTGATTTAAACCAGATTTAAAACTTTTTGTGGTTCTTTTAGTGCGTTCAATTCTGCATAAAATGGATAAGGATAAACTAGATTCATTTATAGCTTTTGCTTCTCCTTAAAAAGGACAAAAGACAAAAGACGAAAGAGTATCTAGAGTCCGATACGCCCTGCTCAGCTCTACACTGTCCATATCATTCGGAGACTTGCAAACATAAAGCCAGGTAAGGCCCATGTATGCGTTCGTCTAACTCGCTCTATTTTCCCTTTACTTCCTCTTTCCTCTCTGGTGAAAGTCAACTACAGAAGCCCTCATCTAGATTGCCGTTGGTTCTGCAATTTTTCTTTACTGGATTAGTTTGATCTTCTCTTACCGTCTCTCTCTCTGGTATGTACTTTTAACACTTTTTTTTTTTCCATTTTTTTGCATGGTGATCAGAAACCTATTTGCTTATATCCTTTCCTCTCCTCTTCCTCCTTCGTCTGGCTTCTTCTCCATTTTTTTCCCTTTTTTTTGGCTTATTGATATTGTCAATTTTTGGTGATCGCTCAAGGTTGTGTATTTACTGATTTTGTAGGATAGTGGGCATTGATGGGTTACAATATGGGGTTAATCCTATACAATTAAACATTTGCCTGAGTTTTGACATGACATGATCTGCATCCTACACGTTATGCATCTGTCTGTTTTGCTCCAGCAAGTTGGTTCTTTTTTTTGTGAGGTTCTTTTTTTTGTGAGGTTTGTCTTGAAGGTAATTGCAAATTTGTGTAGTTTGTGATTCTGATCCTTAGTTCATTTTTAACGTTCAGAAATTTTCTCTTTATGTTAGCTATTTGATGCGAGATTTTGTGCTTTGTTATTGGGAAGTTACATATTGTTTTTGTATTAACTACATTCTTGCTTATTATGTAGCATTCTGTTATTGAGGTTTTTTCTCTCATTTTTTTAAAGGGCGAATGTTTTTTTTTTTAAACTAATCTGGCTATTTCAGGCAAGATTAACTCTACTAACTACATTTGACCAAAACCATGCACCATAATTATTCCTTTCTAGAGACTCCCTCATCACTCTCCCGGTCCTTTTTTAATTTAATTTACCTCTCTATCTTTCTCTTCTCACTTTTTCATTGTTTTTAGCCTTTTCTGATTTTTTTTCTCTCTTTGCATCGTACTTGATTCTCCTTGAAGTATGCTTTTTTGTTTTTCTGTAATTATCTGAGTGAATGTTTGATGATCTTGCTGGAGGAAAAATATTGTTCTGGTCTTAGAGGGAAGATAAGATTTTATCTAATTCTTCCAACAATACTTCAAGCAAGATTGGTTAAATGGTCAATTTGATTTCAAATTGTTCTTAAGTTCTTCATTTAATTGAGGTAATTAAGTAGTTTGAGTATTCTGCTACTCTAGGTTCATTACGAAATTTGGTGTTGTTTTCGTGTTATCTGCTCGGTAGCCTGAATTTAGTGCTTTTGGATGACAGAGTCAATCTCATTGTGTTGTAGGTGTTAGCTAAGAAATTAGGTTCCTTCTTGTTTGATCCTAGAAATAAGTGATTCACTGCTGTAACTTAAATCATAGCTATAGCTTCTCTGCCCTGTTCCCTCTCAATGGCTTATTATAATTGGTTTGCATTGTAAGTTTTATTAGTGTTATCTTTTTTTTAGTATTTGAGTGAGTTTTTGTGGTACTTTTAGTATTTTTTGGCTGAGCCTTTTGCTCTTTTTTATGGCTTCAAGTTGTTTGATACTCTTTGTTAAACTTTTACTATACTTTACTCCTAATACGTATTATGATTTGTGATAATAGCTCCAAAAAGCACCTAAAGGAGAATATGAATTGATCTTTCTACCACAACTTAAATTTCTTGGAACTTCCAAAGAAGGGTAACTTTATTTTAAAATATTGTGCTTACCATTTTCTTTTCTCATCTTTAGTTTAGGTTGATAAGGCTGAAAGAGGCAAGTTGAAGTCTATATGTGATGTCGTGAGTACTTTTTCCCGCTCAATCGAAAGAAACATGTTTATTTCCAAATTTTTAAAAAAAATTTATTTATTCTGAAATTACTTTTTGGCCCTTTTTTAGAGAAAAATTCCCTAAGGCTGACAAGATGAAGGGTGGTAATTATATGAAGAATCTTCAGACTTACAACGAAAGAATTGTAACTTCCCCCCATAAAATAATAAATGCCATTATACATATTTATTCCAGTTTTAATTTTTGTTTATTAAAATTCTTCTTTGATAATAGGTTGATAGTGCTGGAGTGGAGGAAGAAGAATTTGACAAGTGAAGGTCCAAGGCAAACGATGATCAGGAAGGATATGGAGGGGTCTGTTGAATTAAAAATTAATCAAAATCTCTTGATTTATAGATAGATAATTATGTTTTGATATCTACAGTTTCTTAATAGTGAAAAGTGGTTATTTATTGGATGAGGAGGATGATGTGTAAAGGAATTGTTGGGGCCAGCATTTTAGGATGTGAAGAAAATGTTTCTTATAACATCTTGATTTTGGATTACTAGCCTGTATCTATGAATAGGTAGTTTATTTTCAAGACTTTTAATTTTAGCAAATGATAATCGGAGAATAAAAGCAGTTTAAAATTAGATTTCAGAATCATTTGCTTAAGTTGGTCCTATGGATTTGTACTCTTATCCCTTTCTATTGTCCCTAATGGTAATGTATTTAGAGTTTGGGGTGATTGCTAGACATGGAACTGAACATATTGTGACTATTTGGCTGAAGGAGTTGGTAATGTTTTGTTGATTTAACTAGCTGAATCAATTGCAGTTGTTAAAGGACTGCAATTGGTGGTGGAAGTCTGAATTGTGGCTTTTAACCTAGAGTGACTCGGACAAGAAATTGTTAGAAAATTCAATTTTCATTATGAAGACATTTTTACAATCAAACAAATGGTTGGTTTCAAATTTGTATATGTAGATCTGGAAACATGGCTGTTCATATTTTTATCTAAGATTTCTATTTGTATTCTAGAGCTATTTGATGGGATAATGTTCACACCTATTTGTAATGGTACTAGAAATGATTTAAATGGATGGATTAACTAGCTATTCTCCCAAAAAGGAAGAAAAATGTGTAAGTTTGTATGTTTTATTGATGTTGAAGACTGTGACAGGTCTTGGTGGCTTTCTAAGCCTTTTTTGATTATTAAAGTGCTAAAAGCATTATGACTGCTTTTGGTTTAGTTAGAACTGAAGTTATGTAGCGATTAATTTGGCAATGCCCTCATAGTGTACTTACTATCTCTCCTTTTTTGGTATCGTTATGTACACATAATACCGGTTCACAAATCTTTATCCAGATAACAATGAATGTGGGGCTAACTGCATGGATGGAATTTGTCTTTATGGCAAATTTTAATTATTTTGATGTTCAATTTTTCTCTTGTATTTCTGTTAATTGTGTACCAAAAAATATGTTGCTATGTGTTCAATTAAGCTTCATGGAGGCCCAGGCTGTGCCTACCTCTAATACTAAAAAGTATAACCCCATCCAATCTGAATAGTATCTGTAAATTGAATACACAATCTTGAAATCTGGACATAATCTTTCTTAAATATCCATACTAGAAAATTTCTTTCGAGGCATAAAAGGGATTCCGTGACGTCTTGACCTTCATGTTGGGTCAACTACGTCAAAATCACCCAGCCATGTTGATGATCTTCAGTGGCTGCTGCAAACCCAGATTGGAGTTTTCTTATCTGTTTTTTTTTTTAATATTTTTTAGGAATATGCTTTTTGGTTGATCAATAAGCTCAAGCCTTCGGACCTATAAACTTGGCCGTGTTGGTTTTGGATTGAAATCTCTGCTTCCAAGGCGCCTAGACACCATGCAGTGAGTTTTTCTTGGCATTTTTGCATTGATGAAAGGCTGTAATTTTTAAAACTTGTTCCTTTGCTTATTCCTTATTGTTCTAGATATTAACTTTTGCTAATTTTACTAAGGTAGAAGAACTGTTTGATTTGTATTTGTGATGCTATAAATGTTAGTTTCTTGGTTAGGAATTATGAGTAGAGTGGGAGAGAAATGCTTCCTAGCTCTCTCTCTCTCTCTCTCTCTCTCTCTCTATCTATCTCTCTCTCATTTTAATAGTATAAGTGAAAGGGCTCGAACCAGGACCTCTCACTTACACTCTCTCCCCCCTAGCCACCCGACCCATCCCTCCTTCATGCGTCCCAGTTCTTGTTAACTATAAGACAATAAAAATGTTGTAATTTGTGTGGAATTTGCATCATAAAAATCCTGCTTGTTTAGGAGTTGGGGGCTGTTAGGACACAAGTTCTTGTTGTTTTGGCCATATTAATAAAGAGTTCTGAGTTATATTAGAAAAAATAACAGGGTGGGGTATTGTTGAATTAATGTGGTTGTCTAGTTGTGATATTATGTTGCAGATCCATATTATTTGCGGTTTGGATGGATTTTTCTATTTGATCAAGGTGATCAATAGGATGTAATTGTTGAAATGAATATCTATAATTTTTTTAGCTGGCATTTGAAATGTTAGCTTGGCCCAGTAATACAGAAGCGGGGTGGAGTGATTTTGTGTGCTTGTGCTTACTTGAGGAAGTGGCTGCGGCTAAACAGCTTAATTTAGTGAAAGCAGAGGAATGAAATACCAATCTTCATCACATGAATAATTTGGATTATTACTTTAAGGAATTTGCCTGATTGAATTAAATTATGCATACTGGTTTATATCAAATGCTAGTGGTAGAGATAATTAATAGGCTTATATAGTAGTTTGAAAAGTTTTAACTACATTGTTTGTACTTGCCTTAAAATTCTTGAGCCGCTAATTGACCATTGAGTATTGCAATAGTTGTTCCTGTTGTCTAATGGTTTACCAACTTCACTTATTATGTTTTGCTTTTGCATCTATGTGGTTGTAATCTGCTTAGTTTCTGTGCGTTTCCATATGGTACTTATATTTAAAATCTATCCAATTATGTATTTAAATCTATTTTCCAAATATTGCCTGTGAAGTTGAGTGATGGAATTTCAACTTTGGCTGTTTGTAGAAGATATTTATTCTCTGAATTTAATTTGGTCATCTTTCCAATTACAGAACAAGGAAAATTTTTGGGATTTCCCTGTCCCTGATTATCATTAACATGGCTGCTATAATGGAGCGAGCTGATGAAAATCTCCTTCCATCTGTTTACAAAGAAGTCAGTGAAGCTTTTTCTGCAGGGCCATCTGATCTTGGTTATCTGACTTTTATACGCAATTTCATTCAGGGATTGGCTTCTCCAGTAGCAGGTATATTAGCGATTAGTTATGACCGCCCTACTGTTCTTGCGGTTGGTACTCTCTGCTGGGCCTTGTCAACAGCTGCAGTAGGTGTTAGCCAGGACTTTTTACAAGTTGCATGTTGGAGAGCAGTAAATGGTTTTGGACTGGCTATTGTGATTCCAGCACTTCAGTCTTTCATTGCTGATAGCTATGTTGATCGTGTGCGAGGGACTGGTTTTGGGTTTCTAAATCTCGTTGGTACTGTGGGTGGTATAGGAGGTGGAGCAATTGCTACAGTTATGGCTGGTCATAATTTCTGGGGTATACCTGGATGGAGATTTGCCTTCATGGTGATGGCAGCATTGAGCTGTTTGATTGCTTTTCTTGTTCATGCATTTGTTGCTGACCCAAGAAGAAGAACTACTACTAACCACGATACCAGCCAGGCTTTGTTCAGGTACAAGCTACTTCAACCTGTAACTTTGTGGGTGCTGAATTTGTTAGAAATCTCGTTGTCTCCCACTGTATATTTTCTGCCTTCAAGTAGATAAAAGATCATTTCGTACATAGTCATCAGTTGATGGTTTGCTGTGAAGCTTTCTCTCATTGCGTAATAATGTGATCTCCTTTCTGGTTTAGGGATGAAGTGATGGATAAGGGAAATGCTAACTCAGTGTCACTTTGGGTGGAATCATGGCAAGCAATGAAAGCTGTTACAAGAGTTCCCACTTTCCAATACATTGTGTTGCAGGGTCTTGTTGGTTCACTGCCTTGGACAGCCCTAGTATTTTTGACGCTGTGGTTTGAACTAATTGGTAATCTTGGCACATGTGATACCCATTGTTTTTGCCTCTTGACTCGTACTTTCTACAGATATGTTAAATAGGTTTTGTTTCCAATAATTGCACCTTGAGATCCACATTCATTATGGTCCTTTCTTCATTGTTTCTGAAATTTAATTGGTTTGATTTCCTACTCTACTTTTTGAGGCATTATGCATGAATTATTGATTTGGCATGTGAACTTGGGAACTCAACCATGAGAACAGAGAAGTTGCTCATAGTGTGTTTAGGCGGAGATATGAGCAACATCAGGCAGGTTTCAGACCTAGCTGCATGATAGAAAGAATGCCTTCAAATTTAAGACAAATTTCTTGTCTTTCCTCCTTTTAAAACATCTAGGATGAATGAAAAATGCTCCCTTCCCAACCCCAGCTGGGTGCAAGGCTACCACCCTTCATTCACCACCTAAAAACAATATATATATATATATATATATGTTGGGGTTTTAGGTGCTGAAATTAATTGTAAGGTCTATTTGCTTGTTGATTCTAGCTTTGATGTAGAGAATGCGTTGCAAATTTTTTGGCAGGTTTTGATCACAACAGTTCAGCAGCCCTTGTCGGTATCTTTGCTGCTGGATGTGCACTGGGGTCTTTCGTTGGTGGAATAATTGCAGATCAAATGTCACGCTTATACCCAAATTCAGGGCGCATAATGTGTGCACAGTTCTGTGCTTTTATGGGCATTCCATTCTCATGGTTCCTTCTGAGAGTTATCCCACAGTCTGTGAGCAGCTATTCGACATATGCTGTCACCCTCTTCTTGATGGGCCTTACTATTAGCTGGTGTGCTACTGCTACAAATGGTCCAATGTTTGCTGAGGTTGTCCCTGTGAAACATCGGACCATGATTTATGCATTTGATCGTGCTTTTGAAGTATCCTTTTCTTCTTTTGCTGCCCCTGTGGTTGGAATTCTTGCAGAAAAGATGTATGGCTACGATCCAAAATCTGTTGATCCTGTTGTAGGGTCCGGAAGAGAAGCCTTGGCTTTGTCAAGAGGCCTTTTCTCCATGATGGCAGTTCCATTTGGTTTGTGCGGTTTATTTTACACACCTTTGTATTGGAATTTCGGGCATGATCGAGAAAATGCTAGAATTGCTACCGCAAAAGAAACAGAGATGATATGACAGTTTTATCGACATTGTTGGTTTTTTTTTCTTCTTTTTTGAAGCATTATTTTGTTAGCCAACTGAGAAATGAACTATTACATCATAACTGAAATCCATACTTTTTACGTCCTACATTTTGCATGATGTATTTAAACTCTATCATTGAGATTTTATTCAAAACCGTATATTAGATTTGGTAATTTGGTAGATTTATCACTATCAACAGATGCAAGTCTGATACGTAAGCTGAATTGCACTGCTTCCTAGTCACTCTCTGGCCCTGGACGAAACTGGGCTTCCTGCACATCTAGATCTGAGGGTGGCCTCTCTCGGCTAGATAATTGGTCCTACATCCACTTGGCTGCTCTGCTGCAGAAAAACAAAAAAAAAAAATCTTGCTGCTCGTCTAGAGCAGTTGATGGTCTGTAGTAGTTTCTGCGCTACTAGTTTTGGCTGCTGATTTTAAGAAGCAAAATCTAGCCACTGTACTTGAGAATTGAAATCCCAGTCAGGGATCCAAGTCTTAAAAGAGAAGAATCAAATAGGAGGTTGGAATACAAGTCAATGCTAAAGAAGATTAATGACTATCAGCTGGAACCTGCTATCCATTGCTTAGAAGCCCATACTGACTCCCACTGCAGAAAATTACAGATGAAACAGCAAATTCTGCAGCATAATAGAGTGCCTAATAATGTACACTTGCATTCAACTCTCCCTCAAGTAGCACAAAAGAAAAAAGGAGTTGCAGGATTATTGAGGGAAAATGTTAGATACTAGAAGACCATGTGATGAGATTAGATTTACATCCAATCCCACTAAGCATTAGAGTACAAGAGCAATTAAAATCAGTGCTGACTTCGAATAAGCTACATGCATCTCGGAGAATATGTCTGCCCAATATTTCCTCCAACCATAGCCTCTCTCTCATTTTAGTGAAATAGCTTTGGGTTGTCTCTCAACTCTGCAGCAGCATCATGATTAAGAGGGTCTTTAGAATTTGGTTCCTACAGATAGAAAGGATAAGTTACTTGAAGAATGTAATCGAGAGTATTACCGTAAACAGATGATATTGTCCATAAATAACAGTATTGATGTTGAGGACAGAATTCCGGTCCCTGCGAAGTATGTTCAGGCAAATATTCCCTTCCAAATCAATATTAGGATGGTAGACCTGCACGTAAAACACAGTTTTACCAAATATAAGGAACAATTTGTATTATTCAGCATATGCACATTATAATTAGAAATTGTCCTCAAAGAACCAAGGGCTACACAAGATTGTCAGGCTGCTAATTAGGATGGTAGGCGCTTACACCACCCCCAACACCCCCCCCCCCCTTCCCCTCTCTTTTTTGAGTCTTGACAAAGTCAAGCTTTGGCTCCATAAAGACGAAGGAAATGGATAAAAAAGGAGGGACTTCTGCAACAGGCTATGCCACCCAAACCAACTGAGAGAAGTGGCATCCGTCCCATCACAATTCACAAGCACCTACAATGTCATGATCACATTTGGTTTACTCTTATTTCTTTGATAGTTTATCGGACGGAATCTAATTCACACGCAAAAGTGAAAGAGAGAAACTGAAATAATTGAATAAAGGGAAGAACAATCACGACCTTGACGCGAGTTTCATAGTCAAGCTGAGGCTTCGTTTCATTCTCGTAACGGGAACGAGTGTGACTGTAGGTCAATGATATAATATAGAATGACAAGATCGTATTGAGTCAAATCAGAAAATTCAAGAGAGAATTCACTAGAAACAAGTTTACATAAACGGGGATCAAAACTTGAAGAATTCAAGGCGTGTAATCACTTTCCTTGAAGTTTGATTGCCCCACTATTTTGCTAATCCGGTCTCTGGGCAAAAACTCTAGGATACAATGAATTCTAATTAGACAATCAAGTAGCAAGTTCTTGGATTTGTCTAGTCAAGAATAAAAAATGTTTCAGTTAGTTTTTTGGTGTTCAACCCATTGATTTATACACCCACAATATTCAGAAAACTGTTAGAAACTGCTCACATCTACCCTTTCAAAGGAATATGAAGTTTCACGGTGAAATGGTGCTTCAAAAGGTGCAAACATTTCCTATTTTGCAAACTACATCAACAATCCCCCACTTAGTTTGCAAAATAAAAAGTCAAATTAACACTGAAAGTTCATGCATCAAGGAAAGTAACTCTCATCTTAAACTTCCCTTGCTGAAAAATTAAGTTTCGGTCTGATTTGGTCGTTCCGGATCAGACGTGGGCACGTCTAACTCATAGGAAGTCTTCTATTTTGTAACTGGAACTCTGATCTTTAAGCGTGATCACTTAGCGTGGGCACGCTTAACTCGTAAGGAGTCTTCTGGTCACCAAATCAAAATACACATTTAAATGAAGCCCTTGGTGGCTAGATTGCTTAAACCAAGATTCACAAAAACAAGAAATATCACATACATGAATCATGTAGCATTTATATATTCATAACCATCTGTAGCACTATTACTGGCCATGTGCTCATCCTATTCATGATCATATACAAGAGATCACCCAAAACTCTTGTTAGAAGCGGCACCACTTCTACGACCATATAGGTAAACTATATTTCTAGTTTTAACAAATAAAACACAAGAAATATGTTTATTAAGAGTTACTTCTCATCCTACTCACTTAAGAGTAACACATAACACAACTAATTGGAATGGTCTACACACAAAACGTAGTGTTCACTATCACTTGAAGCAACTTGTTATTACCCTTTAAACCTTCCAAACTAGAGGTAGTACTAGAAGAAAGGTTGGATTACCATTGCTAAGTGATTTTAGTATAAGGGTTTTAATCTCATTCCAGATGTTGTCACATTCACTAACTCTCTCGTTAGAGGTTTAGTCAACGGATCCGCCAAGTTTTTGTGTGTTCTTACAAACACAATACTGACAACATCATTTGCAAGCATTTGTCTTATAAATGCATGTCTCAAACTTATATGTCTAGACTTACCATTGTAAACTTTATTCAATGCTCTAGACATAGTAGCTTCACTATCACAAAAGATAGTTGTTGGAGGCATTGGTCTAGACCAAAAATTAATATCGAGTAAAAGATCTCTTAGCCACTCAGCCTCTTTACAAGCTGAAGATAGTGCAATAAATTCAGCTTCCATGGTTGAATGAGTTATCACTGTTTGCTTCTTTGAAGCCCATGAGATAGCTCCACCACCAAGCATAAAAATCCAACCACTAGTTGGTTTTTGCTCACTGATACTAGTAATCCAACTAGTATCTAAAAATCCCTCAAGAACACTAGGAAAACTATTATAAAAGAGTCCAAGATCTTTAGTTCTTTGAAGATAACCAAGCACTCTACAAATAGTTTTCCAATGATCTTTACTTGGATTTTTAGTGTATCTAGCTAGTCTACAAACCGAGTATGAAATATCCGGTCTAGTGCAACTCATTGCATACATAAGACTACCAATAACACTAGCATATTCTAGTTGAGCTATTGGTTTACCGGTATTCTCATACAACTTAAAGTTAGGATCAAAAGGGGTACCAACTTCTTTCACACTTAAATGTTGATACTTCTTTAATATTTTCTCAACATAATGTGATTGAGACAAGGCAAAACCCCCACTATGTCTTTTAACTTTAATCCCTAAGATAGTATCTCCTTCACCAAGATCTTTCATCTTGAACTTAGAAGACAAATACTTCTTAGTTTCTACTACACCTTTAAGTGTAGCACTAACAATTAGCATGTCATCCACATACAAACAAATAATCACACTATACTCACTATTAAATTTAGAATAAATGCACTTATCAGCATTATTGTACCTAAATCCACTAGAGAGTAAGACAGATTCAAATTTCTCATGCCATTGTTTTGGAGCTTGTTTCAAGCCATATAAAGACTTCACTAGTTTACACACCTTATGTTCATTGCCCAGGAGTATAAAACCTTCCGGTTGTTCCATGTACACCTCCTCATTCAAATCACCATTTAAGAAAGCTATTTTAACATCCATTTGCTGCACATGAAGGCTAAAAACAGAAGCTAAAGCTAGAAGTACTCTAACAGAGGTTATTCTAGCCACAGGTGCATATGTGTCAAAATAGTCTATTCCTTCCTTTTGTCTATAGCCTTTAGCTACTAACCTAGCCTTGTAAGTAAGAATAGTTCCATCAGTGGTATATTTCTTGCGAAATACCCACTTACAACCAATAGGTTTAGAACCTTGAGGCAAGTCCACAAGAACCCAAGTATTGTTAGACAATATTGAGTCCATTTCATCATTCACAGCCTCTTTCCAAAATGCAACATCTCTCGATTTCATAGCTTCATCATATGTCTTAGGATCATCCTCTACACTCAACAAAATTGGAGTTTTATTTAGTAGAGAATCTCTATTTCCTTCTACTAGAAAAACAATAGCTTGAAGAGACACAAAGTCGTGGGGCAATTGTTTTTCTTTTCTTTGTCTCTGACTCCTCCTAGGTTCACTAGGAGTATCAATTTCTTTTCTTTTTGTACCACTAGAAGAAGTTGCATTTGGAGAGGATGGACCTATAGTAACTGTTGAGTCTTTAAGAAACTTATCTTCAAAGAACTCAACATCCCTTGACTTAACTATTATATTTGAACCAAGATCAAGTAGTCTATAGGCTTTCGAATTTTCTGCATAGCCAACGAACACACTTTTAAGGGCTCTAGGTCCCAATTTAGTCCTTTTATTATCAGGGACCCTATAGTAGGCTATACAGCCCCAAATTCTTAAATAAGACAGATTTGGTTTTCTATTTTTCCACACTTCATATGGAGAAATTCTAGTTTTTAAGGAAGGAATTCTATTATGAACATGACATGCAACTAACAAAGCTTCACCCCACAAATTATTTGGCAACCCTGAACTCACAAGCATGGAATTAACCATATCTTCAAGAGTTCGATTTTTCCTTTCAGCCAAACCATTTTGTTGTGGTGTGTATGGTGCAATGGTTTGGTGTACAATTCCACTTACTTCACAAAATTTCGAGAATTCACTAGGGAAGTACTCACCCCCTCTATCACTTCTCAAAGTTTTAATTTTCTTATTCAATTGATTTTCTACTAAAGCTTTGTATGTTTTAAACATACCAAACACTTCTTCTTTGTGTTTCATAAGATACACATACACAAACCTAGAGCAATCAT